AAAAAAAAAAAAAAAAAAAAACTCATAAGTTAGTCTTATCATGTCTTTTTCAAGTAAATGAGGCCTCAATTTATGCTCTATAGTCACGGTTACCGGCCGATCAGACCAGGTCAAGCCCGTTGGCCATCGGCCTATGGTTTTACTCAAGGTAGCTTAGGTTCAAGTGCTTTTCACAAATTGAATTGTCGGTAGTTTTACGAATTTAAAAATTGATTTTTATTTTTAAAAATTTTTCTATTAGGTTTTTATATTTTGGTTTGGCGCTGAACTGTGAACCGTCGAATAGCGAACCGACCCCTATATATACACGGGTTTGTTTTTGTTCGCATAAAATAGGGAAATGGGTCAAAAACACCCCCAATGTTTGTTGTAAGGTACATATATGTCCATGAAGTTTCTTTAGGTGCAAATATATCATTAAAGTTTGCTACTATTAATATATATATCCTCAATGTTTGTTATAAGGTACATATATTTCCATGAAGTTTCTTTAGGTGCAAATATATCATTAAAGTTTGCTATTATTAATGTATATATCATTGCTACCCATATGGGCTTTAAACATTTTGTTCAATTACGCCCCTCAATTCATTGTTTCATGGCGATAAAAAATACTTGCATGACAACATCTCTCGGGACTTTATCAACATTGTAAGCAAATTTCTCCTAAATAAATAATACTGTTTTCAGTTTATAATTTTAATGTCCTTTTAAATTATTTGTTGAGTATTCTATTGTTCTAACAATCTAAAATCTAAGTGAAATTCTTTTTTTTTTTAAAAAAAAAATTGTCCCCATAACATACCAATCGAGATTTGAATATATCAAATTTTAGGTTTTGTTAAGAGTTCTATTTTATATATGGTCTGCAATATATTGATTTTCTCCTATAATTGAAATAAAGCGAGAAATATATCTATCATGTATAATTTAAAAAGTAATATTCACATATGTATATGAATTATTCTGGAAGCACAATAGAAAGTTAAATTTGCAAGCATTTTAACATATTTTGAAAGCACAAGTTTCACCTCTAACAGTTAAATTTGCATGAATTGAGTATTTTTAGTTAAGAAAAATATATTGAAATCAAACAATCTCATTTTATTAGCCTCCGTATAATCTTAAAATAATATAAGTTTTGTGTTGGCAATTATTTTTTCTTTTGACAAACAATCTCATTTGACAAAACAATTCCAAACGTATTTTGCCTTTTTGCGTTTTTATGATTTTTCATAATTTACTTTTTTTTTTTTGCAGATATAAAATTGTCCAAAGAATTATTAGCAAGTGTTTACGTCATATTAAATGTATTTTTGATCATAAGTTAATGAGGAGTTAATGAAGCTCTTTTCCCTATTAGGAAGAATGTAAACATCATTATTGGTTGAACTTTAATGGTATATTTGTGCCTGAAGAAACTTCATGGACACATATGTACCTTGTAGCAAACATTAGGGGTGTTTTTGACCCATTTCCCCATAAAATACGAACTTGAACCGACAATTCCAACTCGAGACCCGGAACCGGCATTTGGCCACCTCAATCCCTAATCCCAAATTCCCAACGAGCAACCTCAAACACTCGGTGGCGCTCAACTCAAATTCGAATTTTCAAGAAGTACAAAAAAAAAAAAAAAAAACCCCTCGCTTCCATTTTCTCTGCTCTCCCCAATCTCGATCGACCTCCAATCCGAATTTCTCCGGCCGACGAAATGGCTCCCCGGAAAACTGCCGCCGCCGGAGGCAACGACCAATTCCCGACGCTCAAGCTCATAATGGAAAAGGGCCCGCTTTCGGGCCAAACCAAAGACTTCAAGCCCCGAATCCAGATCCGCATCGGCCGGCTCGTTCGCGGCAACACTCTGTCCATCAAGGACGACGGCATCTCCTCCAAGCACCTCCTCATCGGAGTCGATACCGCAGCCGGCGGCTGGGCCGTCACCGACCTAGATTCGTCTAACGGCACTGTGCTGAACGGCAAGCGCCTCGAGCCGTTGGAGCCAGCTACTCTTTCCGACGGCGACGTCATCAAAATCGGCGAGCAGACTTCAATTAAGGTCAAGTTCGAAGCTAGCGCTGGCGAGACTGAGGTCAGCACTTCTCGGAATGTGAGGAGGAACGCACGTCGGGGGGTGAGGAAACAGGGGGAGGAATTGGGGGTGATAGACGAGAATTCAGAGTTTGGGTTTGAGATTGAAAATGAGAACAATTTGGGACCTGGGGTTAGAAATGAGAAAAATGTTGATTTGGGGGTGAAAGGTCTAAAATTTGAGGCTGTTGATGAGGAAAACGTGAGAGGGCGAAGGACTCGTGGTTCGAAGGCTAAAGAACTCGAACACGTGAGTAAAGAAGAAACCAATAGCATGGGGAAAATAAGTTCAAGGAGGACGAGAAATTCTGAGAAGAGCGAAAAAGTGGAGAATTTAATACAGGATTTGAATTCAGACATGAACAACAATTTGGAGCCGAGTGGGGTGAAAGGTGTCGAAAGAGTGAGCATGAGGAGGACTAGGAGTTCAAGAAAGGAAGGTAATATAGGCGATCCTTTAATAAATTTGAGCGTTCTTGAAGGAAAAAAGCCACAAAAAGGTACAAGAGGAAGGAAAAATATACTAGTAGAGGCTCCTTCAGATGTAAAAGAGAAGGAAGCGCCAAATTTGGAGGATCAAGAATTGTTAGATGAAGAGAAAGTAATGTCAGAAGTTGAAGTAGACAAGCTGTTAGAGAGTGAAACTCGTGAGAGAGAAAATGCTACCGCATTTGCTAGCACGTCTGGTGTCAAAGATAATGGGGTCAGTGTTGAAATTGGTGAGATTGTGGCGGATTTGGAGAAAATGACGTTGGGTGAATGGTTTGAATTCTTGGAAGTTTATCTTCCCAAACATATTATTGATGAGACGGAGCAGATGATATCTGAGATGAGGAAAAAGGCGGAGAGGTTGAATGAATTTATGCTACAGCATAAGAATGCCAAGAGCGGTGTGGTTATGGACTAGAAAAGCGGATGGCTTCCCTTTGTGCTCTTTTGGTAATTTTGACTAGCATTTCCTGACTCTTCTATCATCTATATGATTACCGTGCTTAGATTAGTGCTGCTGAAATTTGTGCACATGTTTTGCGTCGTTTATGTCGTTCTGTGAATGTACTCTGCAGTTATTGTAATTATATGCTGATTCAAAAATTAATCATTGAACTCAGTAGCTATGATTACAGGCCACAGTTTAGTCTGAATGCCTGATGCACCTTTATGTTACGTAGCTGTACTACTTCTAACAAAATTATATCTGTTGAATTGACTTTTGAGGAAACTCAACAGTTCATGTGATTTTGCTGTTGCTTCTACTTTAGATAGAAAAAAATCCATATGGGCCAAGTTGAGAGCATGTTATTTAGATAAAATAATCGAGAGCTCTGTCTTACAGTTTTCTAAATCATTTATATTCTTATGTTACAGTTATTCAAGATCTATGGTTCATGTTTGTCGTGGATTATTAGTAAATGAAGAGGCACGCCAGTTGACAGGTCTGTATAGGACCACAAGTGGTGATGATTGTGTATAAGGAGAAAACGTGTGTTGCCATTTGTGTGTATATGTACACTGGTCCTTTCTGAAATAGGAAAGTTGGTTGTCTTTGTTTGCATTAGTTGAACGCCATGTTAGTTTGTCGAGCTGCAGATACATTTTGAAGTTCATGCCAGTTTCCTGGTTTGCAGAATCTCTCCTCTCCTAAGATCATATCCAGTCATGTGTGGCCTATTTTCGGAGACGAATTTGGATTACTTTCGTCGACTTATCTAATTCTGCCCATTCAGTTTTTACAATTTTTTAATAAAATGTAATTTGTGAAATTATTATGTTTGTCGCTGATGCAAATTATAGTGGTGGTCCTTGTAGTACTACACTACTACTAAGTAGTAACTTTAGAGTTACTACGCTGGTAAATAATATATTGTGTCGATCTTACGACCCCCGAATGACACTTTTTTTATTTCTTCATTTGTGTTTTATTATTAATATTTTAATGCACTTATTCCATATATCTTATTTCAGAGATGACAATAACTTTTATTTAATTACCTGTATGTCTTTACAACACTTCTCTGTGCAACATACCTTTAATAAAAACAATGGTGCATAAAATCTTCTTTTATTTTTCCTTCAAACATCCACAAAACTCTTACAATCATCGGAGAGCCATTTCCACTTCACGTTCATGTAAAGTTGAAAAAATACATGAATAATCCGAGCCTTCTCTTTCCTTTCCACGCCCACACCCCACAGCTGCATAAACATCTCACAAGAAAACCACTTTTTCCCCCCGTAAGAATAGAGAAGTTGTCTGCATCTTGCTCATACAAAATCTTGGATGATATAGAGCAAGGTGCAATTGCCCTGCTTGTAAAGCTGTCTGCATCTGCATGAACACTCCAAAGTATCTACCAAAGCCATCGACCGTGAAAAATCGCGGGCAGACCACCTCAAAGATGAGGGCTGGTGTTGGAAGGTTTGTTGTTTTGGATTTTATGATTGCTTTGGTGCGTGGGAGTTAAAATGGTGAGACAAACAGGCAGAATCAGATGGTCGAGAGGTTGAAGATGTATTTGGAAATTAAGGGGAAGCATAAGGCTGATTTGGAGAGGGAGTTTCTTAGGTTGCAGCTTTCTAGTGAGTATTAATCAGCTTCTCTCTTTTTCATGTTTGTTTTTGTGTATCTGTGCTTGTATCTTTAACTATTTTTGCTTATTTAGTACCTTGTTAATGGTGTGTCTTGAATAGAAGTTGTGTGTTGTCGTGGGCTTGGATCGGGGACTTGACTGAGCCGTTTACTCGGCAGGTCCCGAGTATTTTGGCCGAATCAGGTTTACAAAACCAGGGCCAGCTCGGCCCAGTCAAAGAAGAAGAAGAAAAAAATACAATAAGATGTTGTGGTTTTATTGAGTTTACTATCTAAGAAGAGTAGCTGGGATTTGAGAAGCTGTTTTAATGGAGATGTGAAAATGTAGTGGAACACGAGCGACTGCCTGCTGACTACAAATGTTAACATCGCTTTTAGTCACATTTGCATCTTCTACCCGTTAAAAGAAATTTTGAAATTATGTTATGCATGTGGTTTTGTTTTGTTTTGCTTTTTTTTTTTTTTTAATCCTGTTATTTACAGAATTCATGCATCACAACCTCTACTGAAAAACTGTACAAGAATTGGCGGAATAACAATGAAAATCCATTGGAAAAATGAAAAAAAAAAAAACAAAATATATAGTGAAAATGGAAGGGTAAATTTGTAATTTTTGTGTTGCTGCTTTGAGCGTGTAGCAATTTTAGTCATCCGATATGAACATTTCGCTATTTAGTCTTGTAATTTAAAAAGTCAACACAATTTTAGTCTTCTCGGCCGCCCAGTCAACATTCTCGTCGGATGTCACATGGCCGGCACGTGACGAGCTTAAGTCTCTTTTTTCGCTAAAAATATCAAAAAATAATAAAAAGAACATGTGGGCATAATTAAAATGGAGGGAAAATGCACAGGAAACCAAATCGAACATGTGGGTTTGAGTTTCAAGCAATTGGGTGGGGATGATAAAATTAAAATATGGGAAGTGCAGTGGTTTTGAAAGTGAAAGTGAAAGTGAAAGTGGTAAGTCTGTTGGTAAGGATTTAGATGTCCAAGAAAAAAAGAATGAACAAAGTGAACCAGATGGGCAAGAAGAGGCTGATGATTTTCTTGATAGTGATTATCAATTTAGAGACAACAGTAGTCACGATGATAATAATACATTGTTTAGTGAAAATGTGGATACATGAGCTAGTGGTGGGGATGAGGTGCATATCCTAGTAGTGATAGTGATGATGATGTAGTTGATGTTCCTGTTGATCTAGATGAAGTAAAGAGTAGTGACAATAAAAATGTGGAACCTCTTGTGTTCAATTCTAGTCAAGTGTGGAATCATGTGTTTGATATTGCGATGATGTTTGCCACTACAGAAGAATTTAGAAAAGCCATCCAATTACATGCAGTTAAAACTAATAAAAACCTTATGAAAGTAAATATCATAAGATAAGGGGATAAGATAAGAGTGTGTGTGTGTGCGCAAATAAAGAATGTAATTGGAAGATCACCATCTTGAAAATGAAGGATCAAGCTAGTTTTCAAAATAGGAAATACAACCCAAACCGCTCTTGCTCTGAAACTTTTGAGGTTAGAAACATCAATCCAAAGTGGTTAAGTGAAACGTTCATAAGCCATTTTCAAATTGACCCTAAAAGAAGTGTTAAAGGTTGGAGACTTGCTATTATTAACAACCTTAATGTTAATATATCAAAGGATCAGGCCTATAAAACTAGGAGAAGAGCCCTGACACAACTTGAGGTTGAACCCGAATATTCTAATTGTGGGATTATGCAAATGAGTTGAGGGTGAACCCTGGGGCAACTATCGTTCTTTCTACTTAGAAGGTTGATGGTGAAGAAGGATTCAAAAAATTTTATGTTTGGGTTAATGCTGCGAGAGAGGGGTTCAAGTCTAGGTGTAGGCCAGTTGGTGTAGATGGCTACCATTTAAAAGGTCCACATACAAAGATACTCTTGACTGCAATACGTGAAGACCCTTACAACACCTTGTTGTTCGCCATGTTCTTTTGCTGTAGTAATTCAAAAATTGAATTGCACGATGTTGTCAATTGTTTTGCATGATGTGGACTCTCTAACCAGCTCAGATAAAAATAATAGTACAAGTGGTTTATTTTATACATATTAAGTGGTTAGTAAGATATTAGTCACTTTATAAAATGAATAGGAAAACATATAGAAATGCTCCCCTACCCACGGTGGGCACATGTTAATATGCCCACCGCGTAGGTGGCATGCACTCATTGGTGATGTTAATATGTTTAAAAAAATACATCACAACTAAATGAATTATGGCATCATGAGCAAATTGCCCAAATTTAGGCATCCATTTTTTTTTATATATGCAAATTTGTTGACGTTTTTGAAGTGTGAAGAAAGGTATTACCACATAGGTAAAAACTAATTGCCATATTACATGATTCAAGATTGAAATAATAAAAAATGATACGCATATATTGGTTTTAAGAATGATACAAATTAAATAAGTGTATAATAAAAATTGAGAAGATGCACCTTGTACAACTAATACCATCTCTACATATTCGTTGTCACTAATTACAATACAAAAGGATAGAGATTTATTGGTTTTTCATGGATCAAAGATGAAATGAGACCTTCTTTAATATTATTGGGCATAATGTTATAAAGATGGGAGAAGATAATAGACAAAAATAAATATGGAATTATGGATCATACCAAACCTAACCCCAAACCATAATTTTTTTTACACAAACCAAATTACGAAACACAAATATTTACCAAGTCAACATGCAAAACGCGTGAGCAGGGGTGCAAACGAGCCAAGCCGAGTCGAGCATTGACCTTATCGAGCAGAATTGAGTTTTTTTTTAGCTGCTCGAGCTCGACTCGATTAGAAATAACAATAGCTCGAGTTCGGCTCGTACTCGACTCGAAATCAAAATGCTCGAGTTTGGCTCGAAAATTAGGTAAAATTACCATTAAGCACCTATGCTAATATATATAATGAGTATTTTTGTCATTAAGGTATATCTCGAGCCGCTCGACAAGACAAAATATAGGCTCGAGCTCGACTGGAATTCGTGCTCGAGCCGCTCGAGCTCGACTCGAGTTCGGTCAAACTCGAACTCGAGCCAGAGCTCGACTCGAGCGCGAGCGACTCACTCGTTTGTAGCCCTACGCGTGAGTCTATAACTTAAGCTCAATGTGTTTTGAATTAATATATAGGAGAAGATATTAGAATAATGAAAAAATAAAAATTTACAAAACATTTATTTCACGTGCTGGACTGGATGAGGAATTGGAATTTGGAAATATATATCTGTTCAACATAAACAAACAAAAGCAACAATAAATTAAACAACGGAAATACCTGTGTGGGAGCAAAAATAATTTTCAAAAAAAAAAAAAGAAAAAAAAAAAGACGAAAAAAGTTTGACGACATAGGTTTATGCGGTGTGAGGGTTGACAGCACAAGATTCTTTTTATTTTATTTATTTATTATTTTATAATATATTTCCTAGAACAAAATCAAATGTTTATAGTCCAAGTTCTCTGCATGTAACTCCCCTGCGGGACCCACTCAAACCCCTCTTCAGATTTTTCCACCCCAAATTCCCCACATTATCTTCTTTTTCCTGTTTTTTCTACGAAGCCAACAGTTAGGTTCATAATCGAGTCAACCTTCTATATACAACAAGTAAACTTATTCACTAATTACTTAAATAAAACTAATATAATTTTATTAATATGATAAATTTACTTATTTTGTATAAAAGGTTGGCTCGACTATAGGTAACGGTTGGCTTTATAACAAAACCGCTTCTTCTCTACACACATCAATTCTTTTTTATTTTCTTTCGGTCAATTTCATCACCTGCCCTTTTTATCTTCTCTCTCCCGTTTCTTTTTTTTTTTCCTTCTTTTTCTTCACTCGATCTCTTCGCATAGCTCTTAACGTTGGGAGCTCGAAAATCTCTCTTTAGAAGTTTCAGTGATAACGTGTATGCAAACTGTCTTGCCCACTCATCTCTCAAGAAAGATCTGTTCTTGAAATTTAGCAGAGAGAGAGAGAGAGTTGGGTGAAAAGAGACGGGACCTAATAAAATTCTTATGAATTTCATTTAGGAGCATCAAAAAATTATTATTATTATTGTTTTATTTATGTTTTTGCGTGGTGGGAGTGTGTATAGAGTGATGAATTTGGGTTTAGAGAGGGTATTAGAAGGACCCCTGAAGCTAAAAATTCAATCTTTTTGGTTGATTCTTAATTTCTTGTGCTATCTTTTTTTTTTTAAAATAATTTTTATTTTTTTTTCCCTCTTTCTAGTGGGTTTTGTCATTTGATTCAACAGTGTCAGATATTCGCAGTGCTCTGTGTGTTACTTATGCAGCATTTTCGTTTTACTTGGTTTCGTTTGCATGTAGTAATAAGATCTGAAGATTAGAGGCCAAAGTCTTTTTTTTTTTTTTTACACACACAGGAGGATTAATATTGGTTCCCCAATTTCCCTCCTAGTGACTCGAACTGGATACGCCGAGCGAGGTATGCGCCACTGCTCTAAACCCTCTTCGTCAACTATTTTGTGAGGTAACTATTTTGTTCATTTTATAGTTCCTTTTGGTTTCTTTGAGTTCTTTTGTTCATTAATTTGCTTGTTTGTTCTGTTAACTTTGATGATTGTATACCTTTTTTTGTTGCTAAATTTAGCATTCTCCATCTGATTTACATTACAGATTTTATGTGCAATATCTGAATAATATAGTTTATGTTTTCATCACATTACAGATCCTTTGTCAAAAAGCCAGCTGAAGCAAGTAAATAGGAATAACAATAGGAAAGAAAGAAAAATGCTGTGGCCACTTGGAGCAAAAGGGACAAACATTTGATGAACTAGATAATGGAAATGTCTCCAAAGGCATTAGCACAGGTGTTACTAATAGCCTTGCTGCTCCTACTCGTCCCTTCATCAGCCGACAACGAAACCGATGGCGAGGCTCGGTGCAATTGCGAGGAGGACGTTGGTTTCTGGACGATCGAGACCATCCTCAACTGCCAGCGAGTGAGCGACTTCATGATCTCGGTAGCTTACTTCTCGATCCCGATCGAGCTCGTTTACTTCCTCAGCTTCTCCACCATCCCGTTCAAGTGGGTCATTGTCGAGTTCATTGCCTTTATTGTCCTCTGCGGCATGACCCACTTCCTCAATGGCTGGACCTACGGACCCCACCCCTTCCAGATCATGCTTGCACTCACTGTCTTCAAATTTCTCACTGCCATGGTGTCATTCGCCACCGCAATTACCCTCCTCACCCTCCTTCCACTTTTGCTGAAAATAAAAGCCAGAGAGCATTTGCTGAAGAAAAAGGCGTGGGACCTCGACCGTGAGGTCGCCATAATCATGAAGCGGAAAGAGGCTGGATTGCACGTTCGTATGCTGACTCAGGAGATCCGGAAGTCGCTCGACCGGCACACGATCCTCCACACGACGCTGGTCGAGCTTTCCAAGGTGCTTGACCTAAAAAATTGTGCCATCTGGATGCCCAACAAGGACCGGACGGAGATGAACCTGACCCACGAGGTAAGCGGCCGGACCTTCTCGAGCAGCTTCAGCTCGTCCGTCATCCCCTACGGTGACCCGGACGTGCTTGAGGTGAAGAAGGGCGGCGGGGCGCGGGTGCTCGACGGGCGGTCGGCCCTCGCCGTCGCCAGCTGTGCGGGGCCTGGCCCTCCGGGTGCTGTGGCGGCCGTCCGCCTCCCGATGCTACGCGTCGCCAACTTCAAGGACGGTGGAGGCACGCCCGAGATGGTCCCGCAGTGCTATGCAGTCCTCGTCCTCGTGCTGCCGAGTTGTGGGGAGGAGGAGGCTGAGGAGAGTGAAGTAGCGGGCCAGCGGTCGTGGGGCCCACAGGAGCTCGGGATCGTGGAGGCGGTGGCCGACCAGGTGGCGGTGGCGGTCTCGCATGCGGCGGTGCTGGAGGAGTCGCAGAGCATGCAGGAAAGGCTGGCCGAGCAGAACCGGGCGCTTGATATCTCGAGGCAGGACGCGCTTATGGCGAACCTGGCACGGGCTGCGTTCGAGCGGGTGATGAGCTACGGGTTGCGGAGGCCCATGCACTCGGTTCTCGGGCTTCTGTCCGTGCTGCAGGGGGACGAGAGCCGGCTGAGCGTGGACCAGCGGCTGCTCGTGGACGCTATGGTCAAAACAGGCGGTGTTCTCTCGGTTCTGATTGGGGACGTGATGGGTGCATCCGGAAGGGTTCGGGCCGGGCCCAGGCGGCTGGAAATGAAGATGTTTCGACTGCACGCAATGATCAGGGAGATTGCCTGCCTTGCGAAATGCTTGTGTGCGTATGTGGGGTACGGTTTCGTGGCTGAGGTCGAGAAGGCGCTGCCGGACAATGTGATGGGAGACGAGAGGAGGGTGTTTCAGGTGATTCTGCATATGGTCAGGCATTTGCTGGACTCGGGTGGTGGGATTGGAGGAGGGTGCCTCACACTCCGGGCTTACTCAGTGGGGGGGTGGAGTGAGCAGAGCTGGGGGCACTGGATGGAGAGCTCGTCTGATGGGTATGTTCATGCGAGGTTTGAAGTTGGAATTTGTCGAGGTGGGTCGTCTCGGTCGGAGGGCGGGCTTCCTATGGCAGCCGAGCACTGTGGAAGGTTGGGGGAGAGCTTGAGCTTTCTGGCGTGCAAGAAGCTGGTTAAGGTATATTTGCGACGAGCTTTTTCATTCCCTTTTTGTTTTGTTGGATAGGTTGATGTGCGTAATAATTTATGTTGACTTTACATAATCTTTTTCTTGTGTTGACATGATCTGGAATTCGTTGTAGACGGAAGAACAAACCATTAGTTTCCAATGAACTAAACCTAACGCATAAATGATAAATCTGTTTGTAAATGAATAAAAAATGGAAAAGAAAAAGCTTTGATTGTATGGCTTAACATCGGGCAATAAATTATTGCCCGTTTTGCTTTTTCTTTGTTTAACATGGAGCAATAAATTGTGGGCAGCAGCTAATGCAAGGTGACATCTGGGTGACTTCAAACCCAGAAAGGTTCGATCAGAGCATGACCCTCGTCCTCCCATTTCACGTCCCCTCATCTTTGGCCGCCAAGCAGCACCACCCCGGGTTGGAAATGGGAAAAAACTCCATCTTCCATGGCCTCCGGGTCCTCCTGGTCGACCCGGATGACTTGAACCGGACCGTGACTCGGAAGCTTCTGGAGAAACTAGGCTGCGCTGTCTCGTCCGTCGCCTCCGGATATGAGTGCCTCAACGCTGTGGGCCCCGACATGTCATCGTCTTCCTCATGCCAGGTCGTGTTCTTGGACCTCCAGCTGCCTGATCTGGACGGGTTTGAGGTCAGCACGAGGATTCGCAAGTTCCAGAGCCGTAACTGGCCGCTGATCGTGGCGCTGACAGGGAACGATGAGAGTGATGTGGCGGACAGGTGTGTGGGGTGCGGGATGAACGGTTTCATTCAGAAGCCAGGTACTCTGCAAGAGATCTCAGATGAGCTTAAGCGCATCTTGATGCAGGTGAACTGGATTTAGTGCATTCATTAGGACGGGGACGAATTGGTCGTCCCTGTAAGAATAAAACAACATAAGATAAATGTAATATTGCAATAAACGTAGCTAGCTTGTGTGGCTCGGTTGTTTGGTTAGGAGCGTTAATTTTTATATATACACAAGAATATAGTTAAAAAAAAAAAATGGTGTAGAAATTTTTTACCGTCATGGGTTCTCGTGAATACACACGTCGGCTGCTAACTAAACTGAAGCCTTCGTAATTTGATCTCTGAAGTTTGGAAATATTTGTTACTACGATCTTTGAAGCCTGTGATTAGCTGCACCTTAAGGACTGGACCAATCATAAGTTGACATGTGTGAGCTTAGGCCAGGTTCAAGTCAACATGTGTGGGGAAGTGAAATTTCGAAAGTTGCGTAGGCAAAGTGCGACACTGTACTGTGATGCTGCTTGCTTGTGTTCTTCGAGAAACAAATGGCTGGTGTAAGTAACAATATGCATGTGATTTGTGTACTTGAAAATGCTGTTTGCTTTGTTCTTCTTACTGGCTATTTCTTTTACAAATTTCAATCTTGATTCATTAATTTTTTGTGTTTTTTTTTTT